TATATATATATATATATATATATATATATATATATCTTCCTAGTTACTGTTTTTTGGGAATAGTGAGGAAAAATTAACCACTTAAAATTGTGGATTTTTCTTCAGAATAAACAAAAATAAAAAAATAAAGTTGGGACCATTATATTAATTAGTAAATCTGTGGCAATTCTAATGTTTCTCTCGATATTGCAGTCATCATTAGTTAGATTTAAGATAGGATCCTTTTTAATTGCTTTCTCAAATAGTATAAGTTCGTTTTCGTCTTGCTTTACTTCACTGATATTATCAAGAGATGCATTCCAAAGCAAGGTGGCACTTTCAAAAAAACCTTTACTCAGTGCATACTGTATACAACTACGACAAATAAGTCGAAATTCTGCAATGTTTTCAAGAGAAGACAAGTTGTAGTTTATAAATTTTCGTGACACATCACCTACTGATTTTGATGCAAAGAATGGCATGTCTATGAATCGCTTCAAAAAATAATTATCCCTTGTTCTCAAAAAGTCTGCTTTAAATTGTTGAATTTCCTCTCTCGTCTCGAAATACCAATTCATAAACTGGTCTACAAGTTCATAGTTGGATGTAAATATTAATGCAAAATAGATAACATGCGGAGACGATATAGTTTTCTTAAATGTTTCAATTCCTACAGATTGATAAGCCCATCTCAAGAAAGATTCAACTGCTTGGATGTTGCCATCGCATATCCACTCAATGCAAACATGCCAATCGGTAAATCTAATAGGCCACGATATTATCTCTATAAGATTGATTTTATAAGGATAACATTCTGGTGGCAAGGTAGATTTTGATAATAACACGTGAAGCGAATTCTGATTGTTTGAGTCAATAGCAAAGAAAAATTCTCGCCGACCAAATATAAAGCAGGTAAATAGTTTAATCTCCTCTTCGGAAGCATCATTTAATATCCTAACGGCCATGTTTAGATTTTCCATTTCCAGCAACTGCAACAACACTTTGACGCAAAGAAGTTCATTTTTCAGAAAGGATCGTCTTAGCCGTAAAGGACTGGCACTCCATATTTCTTTAAAAATCATCATTTCATTTCCCATTTTACTCATGTTAGAACTTATATTCTTCATTATACATGAATAAATGTCTTCTTGAAGATTATCCAATAGTTCACAAATAATGGACAAGAACATTCTTTGATATGGCCAACTTTGGAACAAGAACAATAATACGTGAGAATGATTGCGAAAAAATTTAGTCATTTGAGTTCTACGGTTGACATGAGATAATAAAAAACATAAAACATCTAAAGTTTCTGAAGAATCCAGATAAAGTGAATGATTTTGAACTCCCTTACGATGAGTAGCTTGCAAAAGCCATTTACTCAAATGATCATTTTTCTCCTGCTCCGACAATTTTTTCCAAAAATACTTTAGGGCAACTATGTTACCTACCCGAATCGAACAAGCAATCATATTTACATCAATACTAAGCTTATCATCGTATATGTTTTCCTGATCTATGAGTTTAGTTAGAAAACTCCCTAAATTACTCTCGAGGACACAAGTCCAATATATAGTCAAATCATATTCATATATATCTGTTATCCGAGTGATTCTAAATTGGTTTCTAAAATCTTCTGGGATTTTTTCCCACAAATTTGAAGCATATTCCCCTAAACAGTGAGAGCAGGCTATCACATACAAATGGCAAATACCGTATTTTATGCTTCCACTATCGATTAGTTCCGTAAGGGATTTCACCATGTCAACTTTCCCCTCAACTGTCCAATAAATTGTCCCACGTTTCATGTAATACTCACATAGATTTCCTTTATATCTTGTCCATCTAAAGTAACTACGAAATGCTCTCGACAACTGCAAACCAATGGGTCGAATAACGTATGAGATTTCAGTCTTCAGCGATGAGGGCAAAGAGCTATTGAACAATTTGTCTAATATTCTTCTCTCTAACTTAACTGTATTTTCGATATCGTAAAAGAAAGAAGATGTAATTTCATTCCTTATATCAGAAGCCGTCCATAGCCCAATTGCAATCGACACTGCTGCAATATTCTGCAGGTAAGGAGGTTCAGAGAAATTGTTTATGAATTCGTCTTCAGTCGATTCTGTTTTTGAAGTTTTGAGTGTCCAGCTTCCAGATCTCTTTTCTTCACGGACTCCATCTGTAAAATGCAATTTGGAATTTAGTTTTGAATTAAAAATTTTAATAAAAAGAGTTCAAAGAACATAATGCACACATAATTGATCACTATCCTAAGTCATACATTTAATCTACATGTTACTAGTTAAGGAGAAATCATGTATTGTTTGCAATACTTAGGCTATGTCTAATGCAATTTAGTTACAGTACAGAACCCGTTATCCGGAAATCAGAAAACCAAAAAACCGGAACGAAATTCGATAAATTTTCCCGCCATTTTATAAAAAAAAAAAATTTTTTTTCCTCATATGATTTTAGGATTTTTCTTCCTTTTTTGAAAGATGTTTACCCTAGCATCATTTTGGAAATAATCATTAGTGTATTACTTCGTTTTTTCAAGATTATTTCCAAATATTTTTTTTTAGTTGGGTTTAACAATAAAAAAACGACTTTTTGTAGCGATTCAGAAAACCGGAAAAATCAGTTATCCGGAATAGCGATGGTCCCGATCGTTCCGGATAATCGGTTTCCTACTGTACTATTTTATGATTTTTTTCTTTGTTTTGCTTCTAAACGCTAATTTGTATACCTTTATTTAATTTAAGATATTTTTCAAAAATCGGTCATTGAATCCAATTTTTAATACCAATTATTAATTACGTCTTTGTGGTAACGCGCAGTGGTAATTTCATGTAGTTCAATCATCTGGTAATTGCATGCGGCTAGCATAAAATATGAGTAGTCGCATATTGATATACGTAAGATAAACGGTATCATTGACTCTATTTTTTTTTGTTTGAACTTTGCAGTATGATGAAAGATTTTAGTTTTTAGCTATGGACATTACATAGAAAGGGATACGCATTAAAAACTCTTATTAACCGTATTTAGTTATACTAAATATTATTTATGCATTTTTATTATTTAAAAAAAAGTAGTTGAAACCAATAAACGATGCACATTTGTGTTCAGAAGTGCATAATTTTGGTACGAAATTCAGAGAAAATACATTTTAATGTCTGATTTCGTTATAGCCTGCACTAATTGATTAGCATATTTAAGTTCACGCCCCTGAACTATTAATAAGTTATTCAGTGTGATTCGTTTTACTTTCTTTCTAATGGTCGGATTCTCACTTACTAAGTGTCAATCTTAACCCTTTCGCGCCGACTGTCACAAATACGCGACAGCATGAAACCGTATCAATCAGGGTGAAAAGATAAAACTGGTAATCAAAGTAATTCTTTAGCAGTTTATTTGTGGGCGGAGTTATAATTGTTTGATTTATTTAATTCACCATTACTTTGTTCAAAATAAAACTATTTAGTTATACTTTGAATTAACATTGATTATATATATGATTAAACTAACAATAATTAAAGTAAAAGCAAAGTAAGTCTGTCAAATTAGAAACGACTACATTTAAGTTACCGTTTTTTATTTATTTACATCCAGATTCTGATTTTGTGCGAATGCTTTTCTGAATCACCCGTCCCCAAGGGGTTAATGGTTTCTAGGGTTAACCTCAAATTTATTAATATTTTATCGCTAATTGCAGAGATGCCAATTTGCTCCGGACAGCAAATATATATTTTAAAGTGGTAGTTTATCAATTGTGATTTTCGGTTTAATAAATTCAATTTAGTAGATTTTTATCCACCACTATTTCTAAATAATTCGTAGGCTTATAGAATTCCCCACCTTTTAGCAATTATGCCATGTCATACCTTTTAAAAAGCAAGCAAAAATAGTCAAATATTTGCAAAATTTACTTTATAGTTACTTACCGTTTTTTTAATTGTTTTGGCTTGTCCGGAGCAGTTGGCATGTATGTAATTGCTAATAAAATTACAAAAATGAAATTTCTCTGTATTAACGCATATATATATACTATATATATTTTACATATTTGGATTCTTGACTTGCAAAATATAGGGGGCAACTGCGATCTGGAAATTGCGACCCTAATAGTTTGGTCCGAAGAATGGATGAAATTTTAGCCCCCTTAATGTTAATTTCCCTTTTTGTGTTTTTAATCATATCTTTAGAACTAAATAAGCAGTATCAAGAAAAAAAATATCCCCTCCTCATGAAACCCAAAAATTATTTCTTGCCTTATTTCTTGATTATTCTTCAAAGATTATTTATACTATAATTTTCAATAACTATATATTGCTTAATTTAATTGTGAATGAAAAAAAAATTGATTTATGAGGCATAAATTTGTTTCGGCCACATAAATCTACGTAATTTTCTATTGCAAAATCTAAAGTTTCAACTATTTTTATTTAGTAGAAGCCGAGAAAAATTAAAATAGATTATTTTTTAAAAATTAATTTGGTGACAATGTAGAAATATTTAAATGGGACAATTAATATTTAGTGCGAGGAACTTGACTTACGCACGCGTAGCGTCAAATTTCATTCATATTTTTTCCGCTGATAGCCGAATATTAATCTTTTTTTTTTTATTATGAAATACGATTATTCTTTTTAAGTCATCTGAAAATGTATTCGTAATTTAGCAAAGACATTCAAATAAAACATTATATTTAACGAATGTTAAATTTTACGAAATCATGTTTCTAATGAAGAGTGATTATACATCTACTTTTTTTTTAAATTTTTTTTAGTAAGTTCATTGAAGAGTACATGCAATTTCAACATACATACGTACAAATTGTATGGAATAATCTATTTAACAATCCTATATTTTATAATTATCAAGCAATTACAACTGGAATTAAAATAAAAGAGCTATAAAATGTATCGTTTTATAGGATAAAATTGTAATATTGATGATTATGTTTAATCGTGTTTTGATAGTCTATGTCAGCACCAAGAGATTGACGAATCATGCCGAATCATGAATCTTAAAATTTCCAAACATGTCATTATTTTTAAAAACTATCATCTCTAATTATATGAAAAAAATCGTGGCTAAATTGAAGTGATAAATTTTAAAAGTTTCGGTTAAGTATTCAAGTTTTTAATAACATTGAGCTTTAAGTTTTATATACAGTGTGCAATCTAAAAAAAACTGCGCGCTGGACACCTCTTGATCTAAGGGTTATAGACAGGGCTGTAAATAATAAAACCCGCAACTTACGAGAAGCGGTAGGGTGGTAGGGAGGAGAATGATCCAGAAATGATACACTATGATTGGGATGCCCAATTTGCGGCCCACGGCAGCACCAAAATATAATAAGAAAAATTATAATTTTTTTTTTTGGAAGGTAAAAAAGTATTGGAATTTTCGAATTACGCAGTTCTTAACGAGCCAAATCTTAAATCAATGTAGTTTATCGATCGCTTTTTTCGGTGGTTATCGCAACAAATTTCCGATGAACGAAATTTTAAAAACCTCAATATTTTTATATCGACAAAATTATGATACGTGATTTTCAAATTTTAGTAATCGCTTTTAATGCTCTTTATTCATGTCCAGTTTACAGTTAATCTAAGAGGCTTTCCGATCGTGTTTTAAGAGGTTATTTTCTGATTTCCACGTATTTTTTAAAATCCTGATCTTTTTAATGCATACATTATATCCACATTTGACATCTTAACAAAAAGTATTTATCACACAAAATTTCCTTCTTCTGAATTTAGAAAATTGTACTACTTATGAAAATTAAAAGTCTTAAATTATGCTGAATTGCCCCTTCCTCAGTCGAGATGAATAAAAAAAAACAATTAGTGCTGAACAACACTACGAAATCATGCACGAATCTGAAACGCAAATACTGACATTATTGAAGAGCTTAGTAGAAGAACCAGGTAAGTGACATTTTTAGGGGTACTTAAGAATCAGTGAAAATAACAAGAAGGTTGTCTCAATATGGGTAAGTTAAATGTAGCATTTTTTTTTTTTTTTTTTTTTTTTTTTTTTTTTTTTTTTTTTTNTGCTTTTACTTTAATCTAAACTTATTTTATTTTATAACCGTCGTTGAACAGCCGTCGCACTTTTGGGCTTACGCCTAATGATATTCAACTTCGTAGCTTAGCAATTTTGAGCCCAACACAAAACAAAAGAGCTCCTGGATCAAACTAGCTATATTGGAAAACTTTTAGATGAAACTTACCCTCATTTGCGTTACATGGAGAAGAAAGCCACGAAAACCTCTCATGGTTAGTCTGATGGCAAGAGAACTCTTACCCATGATCCTCTACCACTGAGGATATTTTGCGTCAGCACTGTCATAGGCGCGAGCTAGGTGTGGAATTCGAATAGATTAACTACATTTAGCATCAGTTGAGGCGACATTTACTATTATCAAGTAAATTTCTCGGACACACATATATCTATCCCTTTCAATAGTCATACTGATTTCCACGGTATCGATATTAAAACTGCTTGTTGTTTTAATACTATTATTTAATATTTGGTGATTATTTAAACTGCACTGACATAACGAATAAAAAATAATTAAATATTAAAGTACGTGCAATAAACTGTTTTCTTGATCAAATAGAACTGTATATCACACTCATATTGGATACAAATTTTAAATGTCGATATCTCGGTAACATTTTAAATTAGGTTGAAGTGTTTTTTACCATTTTTATGACGTGTGCGAGCTCCTTCGTCACACGAATTCTCCCCCTCTTCAGTGGGCGTAATCCTTAATCAATCTTCAACTGTCAAAATCGGAGAAGGAAAATCGGAGGGGTGAAGAACTAAGATGAAGCTTGGAGAGGGGTGCTAGAGGATTATCCTTTATCGCCTCTTATTTGCAAATTATTTATAACAAGCTGATTATAATGCTGATTAGTAGAGGAAAGCACGTGCTTTTTTGAAAGTTATTATCTTAAAATTTCAAAAATTTATTCTTGATTTAAGTTTAAATTATTTAATTTCAGACAATTTATCAAAAATGAAGTAAAATAATTCTATATTTATCACTTAATATAAATGGTGTTTTAAAAATCATACATTTCCATGAATTATAACTTAATGTTAGTTAATAATTTTAGTTTGCAGTTATTTAATTAAATTTATGTTATGTTATTAATGTTCAGT